TGGGGGGGGGGGGGAGACTTTTCTAATACCCTGTATGTGTATGAGTACCCTAGTACCATGGACCAGAGACTCATTTTTAGAGAGGCATTTTTTTTTTAATTTTTGAGAGAGTGAAAATATTCAATTTTGGTCCATGGTCAAACGTGCTCTACAATGAAAATATGAATACATATTTATTCTTTCGGCCCATGTATGTGGATGTGTTCTCATTACCTTCCACGGAAAAAAATCGCAGATTCAACGGAACAACTAAACAACTAGAATCCCTTATTTACACCCTGAGTTACGACATCTCACTGCTGGTCGGGCTTGGTTGGGCTGAAGGCTGAAAGTGGCCTAAAAAAAATCCAATTCTGATTGGTTCTCGCTCGCTCGGAGCTCCTCTGAAATTCGGATTCCTTGGCGTTGATTGCCTGGGATACCCATCCTCTTCCGCAGGATCACGTCAATATTGCGACCAAAGAAGAATCTTTTGAGGGAGCATTGCCCATCTCTTCAGGAGTTATACTTTTTGGCGTTGGGTGGGTCAACTTGGACTCTTGGAAGTCAATTAAGATCTAAATTTCCTATGATGCGATCAATTTGCGATTCGGTAAGGAACTCCGACTTTTAAAACTGAGCCCTCCTATTGAGTCCCAGGAGTGCACTGGGAAGGATTCGGAACCATGAAATTCGAATTTCTTGGGAGTCGATTACTTAGGTCTCAATCTTTTTTCCTAGAATCTGCAACGAAAGAGAAGATCTGAAGGGGGCACAGCTCTCCTCTTTAAAGGGCCTTTGTTGGGCCTAGGGTGGGCCTTTTTATGTTTGGGGGTCAATTCTAAGTGGAATTTTCCGTACTTTTCAATTCGAATGCAATTATTGAATCGCAATTCGGTTGGGAACCCTGACTTTTGGGATCGTAACCCTGACCCCCCTTTTCCTCCTACTGGAATGAATTTTGTCTCTGGAATTTAGCTACAACGGCCGTCAACTACAATGAGCGCCATATCCGGGTACGGCGCTCCGCCCCACACTGGACTCGAGTGCCGCCAAATGCTATTCCATGCAGGCGACCCCATCATCATTCGACATAATAAAAGAACAATTGGACGCCCTTCCCCCCCCCCCCCCCCCCC